TTCCATGATATGAACTCAACACAAGTTTCCGACACTGCCAATTTTGGAACGAAGCTTAAGATACTTGTTAAGTCACTGAAAATAAGCTTGTGCGCTAAACTGCGTTTTCGTGAAGAAATTGTTTCCCATGGCCTTCCATCCGACCCCACCCCCCCCCACCCCCACATTTNCACCGGCCCCGCTCAATCGTCGGCAAATCCGGACTAGACACCACACCCTGGAACTAGTAGACTAATGTATTATTATCATCATTTTTTGTTAGTCATATTTCCACCCTTGTGGAATTTACCTGAGTTGTATAAATTATGATGTTCCTATTTGACTGAACTGATTGTTTATCACTGAAGACGACACCCGGAACAAACACACGAATTGGCAATTTGGTTCAGAGCTGGTGGGATCAGCTGGTTGGCACAGTGGTACCACACACACACACACACACACACACACACACACACATACACACGAATCATTGAAAACAAGTCTGGTTTGCTGTATCGTGTTCTATTCATAACCGGATTCGGCATTGGGGTGTCTGAAAATCGTAATTTATTGGGATCAGGTATCTATAGTGCATAGTGGATCATACACCTGTTAGACGGTATCAAATATCCAAGGTGCTCAGTACACCTGGGTGCCCAACCAAGCTGGTTACCACTACCACAATTGAGCAGGCGTGTGTGTGTGTGGTTTCTACGCCTCTCCTTTGGTTAGTTTAGAATTAACGATTTTCATGATGAATTCGTCGTGTAAATGAGGCGCGATATGAAAAGCTGGGAAGTACTGGACAGCTGTTTCGACTTGGTTGGGTATCAACGGTAGTGCGAAGCCATCGACCCCCGACTGAGGATCGAACTCGGGACCTCATAAGTATATATATATATATATATATAGTTATGGATGAAGAGTATTTATTTCGAACTTTATCTCCCACTGCAATGTTCTTAGTTCTGTCGTATCGCCATTAGAATTTGCACAACCTTGAGCGACGCGATAACATTTGCAATAGTTCAGAAGTTGCCGTTTAGAATTGAGAACTATTTTGTGCAAAGCAACATGGAACTTCATTTTTTCTAATAAATGATTGCTATCTCATGAGGGTCATTATTCTGGTCAATACACGTATCCGGTGCACGGTAAATAAACTGAATTATTAAAATTGTCCAACTTAAGTAAATCGATAATTTCGGTAGCTACAAACTACTCACTTAAATTCCCTTATCCAGAACGAAATAAAAACAGAATCCCAGAAACATAAGTTCCGACCTTCAAAAGTTGACCTTGGGCTGTGCGCCTGGTTGAATATGCATTTTGCAGTGTCACCTTGCCCAAACCGGATGAAGCATCCACGAGATTTTAGCATAGTGAAGTAACACATAAGTGGGTATTAGTACGAGATGTGTTGCCCCTGATGTGGGCCAATATCACATTTAATCCTGCGTGAATGAGACTCGAAATTCTGAGCGAACGAATGTGATGAAACTCAAGTCAAGTCAAAAATCGCTTTATTCATCCTAATTGATGGATCCTCAGCTTCTTGCACTCCAGGAACATTTATCGTCGCATACAGTCACAAAAAGTGAGAAAAAACAGCGTCGTCAATTCAAAGGAGTGTGGAGTAAAAAGTTTGAAAATGAACATCAATTGCGTAGGAATTTCAAATCTTCTCTAACGGATGCCTTTTGAGGCAGAAATCTCGAAAGATAGGGGATGACGGACAAACGATTGGCAGTGGTACGAACATACACCAGTTTAAAGCGACATATTGTCACAGAAGTGGATATGCATTGTTCAAGTTCTGTATGTAATGGGTGAGTAGTGTCTGATAGAATATTGTTACAGAATTTATCACGAGGTAAAATGTTTATCGGCGATAAAGTTAAGCAAGTGCAAATAAGGAATACTGCTTGTGCGAGAAATAGTTTTAACAGACCGGTGTAGAATTGTGTAATCTTTAACTCTAAGACCGGCAAATAAAAGTGGGGAGCAGTAGAGAAGATGACGAACAACACAGGAATATGCAAATCGAGTGAGTAAATACAGTGGAACTTTTAAAGAACACAAGTGGGTAATAAAGAAACACAACCGTCGAGTCTTCACAAAAGTAGAAGTTAAATGTGAGGTCCAGGTGAGGTCTTGGCGGATAGTGACACCGAGGTATTGTAGAGAGTTTACTTTGGGAACAGGTTGGTTATCATCATAGAGTGCAGAACAATTTCTTTCAAAAGAATGTAGCCGTTCTCCTTTGGCGAGCAAAAAGGTGACATCACTGCATTGAGAGATAACATGGAAGTCGAAGACCGTAAGTTTAAGGCAGATAAACTGATTTGAAGATGTGAGAAGCGGAAATCACCATGGAATTTGGAACCAATTGTGACATCATCAGTATACTTAATAAGGTCATTTGGGTTAGTGGGAAGGTCACGAATATAGAAAGAGAAAAGAAAGGGGGGACAGAATTGCTCCCTGGAGCACCCGTGAGTTAACACGGTGTTGCCCGAGTTTGATCGGTCCTTGTAAAACCAACCGTACGCGTTTGGACAATCATGCTTACTCCAGTTTGTATCTTCGGTTAGAAGACGACCTGTGTGTGTGTGTCCCTACCAGCCGACAAAGCCTACCTCACTTGTCTGTCTCATCTTTTCAATCGCCATAAGTTTAGAAACATTTCCACAAACATGCAATGCGATGATGAAGTGTTGAATCTTGGGAAATATATGAGAACGGAAACGGACAAAGTACAAACCACGATTAGTTGTCACAAATTCCCGCGTGAGATGATCCGTCCATATGAAAATCCGATTCAGCCCACTTCCGACCTACTTAGAAACTGATGAGCGAGATCAGATTGTAAAAATGATTGGTATCATACACATTGTCTACACCTTTGTCCATCACGCTTTAGCCGAAACCCATGGTCTTCTAACCTCGACCCATACATAATCCGTTAATTTTGACCCACATTCCTTTTTTAGCCAGAAGCTGTAATACTTTAGCCACAATCCACAATCCGATTTTAGCCTGGACGCACAAACTTTAGTCATGTTGATGTTGTAAGGCTTGATTAAGAGATACATACGGTGTGGCGATCTCATGCTGCACCATACTTGTTACTTGGACAAGGTTGAAACGATGTGCCCGTATCATCCAACCATTTGACGTATCTGGTGCAGCTTCAGTGTTTCCTGATAGTATGCGATACTTCTGTGAGTAAAAATCTCAAGTGTAACACAAACGAGACATTGTGTTTGTATGAACTCTGTTCATGAGAAGTGGATACATAAACATGCTGAGAATAATAAACCCAGTTCACAAAAGATACTCCCTTTAAGTAAGCTGTCGGGATACATTGGACCACACACACACACACACACACACACACACACACTGAGTATGCTATATAAGCTTGGAATGCATGGCTAATTCATGATCAAAAGACACTCAAACGCCCACAGACAACGGTAACCAAAATGGTCAGAGTTACAATCTAAAACCTATGGTGAAAGACTGTATGCGGTTGAATACGAGGAAGGGGACATGATCCTCGTATCAGCTACTATATCAATCTTACCACCCGTGTAGTACTCAACTAACACTATACGGGAATGGTTACCTCAGAGAACATCCATTTAAACTTTAGCTCCAAAGGAGTCCGCTTGACTTCATGCGTCACTCTTTCAATCTCGGAGTTTGCTATACCCGGAACTCTTTTCTACCTCAAGTTGTTTATGCATCAACACCTAACTTTTCAGCACCCGTGGGTGAAGGTTACAATTTGTTATTTAATTGTACTTTCAACCGAACCCAGTGTGTCCAGATCCTATGGGATTCAATAAGCATCAGCTTTGTAATTTACCCATTATAAAACTTTTGAATTTGAAAATGAATTTCAACTGGGCGTGCAGTGACTATGACCTCGGATATTCTTCTGTATTAGGAAAGTATACACTTGGTTAATAATTCCTAATAGGTTGATGATGACCGGTGAACTGAAGTTCTACTCTACATAAGCCAGTTCAATATCAATGATAACGTTCAAATGAATATCGATTGCCTGAATGAAAGTTCACTAAAAACATTGTCCAATTCACTTTATTCAATGATATACGGTGAAACACGGTCGTAGACGGACAATATTTAAAATCATGTTTCACCAATTCAAACTGACAATCAATCTTCGGGTACCATTTATTTCTGTCACATTTAAACAACTGGTTAATTTTTATCGATTTCTGATCGATCGTTATTCAAAAATTGACCAAATGGATTTCCACTGCAAAGCCGAAAGTTCAACTGTGAAATTATGCATACCGTTAGCTCCATTGGGTACGTTTTTGAGCGTCCATCAATCCCGATATACGAGGATTGAACAGGATTCGGTAAAATGGTTGAAGTCACGTGACCGATTTGAATTTCGCTCGCTTTCTACACAACCCCACTCCCTCATCTGTTTGCCTCAGCTAATCAGTCATGATCAAGTAGTGTATTGATTGTTTTACGGATTTCCGGCGCCGTTTTTGGTATGCAAAATTTGTTCAAAACAGACTGCACGGAAGAAAAAAATAATCCAATTCATCCTCAGAATCTTTCACCAAGAGAGAGAGAGTCCTCTCCCAATTTACTGTTTAAATAAACGTTTGAATTGCGCGACGACAGTGGTTCATCAAACCTTGTGTTCATTTTTTTTTCATACTTCCCTTCTCTCGCACAGATGGAGCAGGTCCACAGAAATGTACCTTACGTAAACATAAACCGAATCGGAAACCGCGTACCCCATTCACCACACAACAATTGGTTGCGTTAGAACGAAAATTTCGCCAGAAACAATACCTATCGATTGCAGGCAAGTTTCATTGTGTACACAAGATGCACCGATATTTTCCGCTGTGTTGTGTTTGAATGTGCCTATACACACGTTTTCTATTTTTGTGTGTAAATAGTTTGGTGGTGACTTGATTATCCGCGTTACATGGGTGTTTTTTCATCCCAAAAGTTCCAGATTCCAACCTAGTTACCATCACCTAGCTTGAATGATATGAAGATTTATTGTTGTTCAGATTGAGGCAAAAAACGGGGGCAGCTGTGTTTGACCCGGGTGGGTCTCATTTCACCAGCAGTGTGCGAATCCATCCACTCGCGACTGGGGACCGAACCCGGGACCTCATTACAAATCCACTCGGTCACCCTGAGGGCAGCTGATTAGACCGTTTCTTGTTTTGGATATACACGATTTAGTACAATTCATCTTTGCGAGCTTGTTGCAGGCATCGCATCTCACTCACTTCAGCACTAGCCTCCAGGTTTATGACTCGCTCGGAAACTTTCACAACCTGACTATGTGTTGTATGGAAGGAACGGAGAGTTTTATTTGATTAGATGATGAATTCATCGTGCAAATGAGGCGTGTTGGTGTGGTTCGTACACCTCTTCTTGTATGGTTTGAAATCGGGGTTTTTAGCCAACTCACCTAGGTGAACTACCAGTGGTCCACCAACCCGGTTGGAGCCCCGAATGTCAGCACTTCGTTCTCTCACTGAGAGCACTGGACAGTGGTTTCGACTTGGTTAGGTATCTTCGCACCAGTGCGAATGGGTAATATGCATGCGTTCTACCTGTGATGAGATCCCTGGTTCGATCCCCGGTCGCGGTTGATGGATTCGCATTGATGAAATGAGACCAAACAAGTTAAAATAATTTGGGAATACTAGTAATAGTACTAGTATTATTAATAATAATAATAATAACAGCAACGACAACAGCGACAGCAGCAGCAGCAGCAACATAGCGGAAGCATCTCAATTTAGATTCAGTCAGCAGAAAAAGAACTACGACACATCAGATGGAGGACCTGTGAAACCAATGATTCCTTCCGAATCAAAGGTTCCATAATGTGACGCGTAATATTCCGTTTTCATCCATACTACGGGGGTGGAATTTGGTGTTCAAAGTAGACATGCGGTAGAATTATCAGCCTCAAGATTGTGATTACTTAATATCGATTCAAATGTGCGTGTAGAGCCCATTCCTTGTCACAATCTGGCTCTGCTGCATGCATCATCAATCATTATTCAAGCTACTCCATTTTTGATTCGATTATTAAACGTTTGAATTTTGAAGATTGACAAAAAGGTGTATGAAAAAATTGTGTCGATAAGTTTCCACATACACAGATATCTCGGTAATCCAACATGTTCCGTTGGTCAAAGTTCAAAAGGTGATAAAGAGAACCTGAAAATTACGATTTTCATGATGATGGGCGAGAATCTACGGCCAAATAACGGTAAACCAATTCGAGTAGAACAATTCCAGTGACTGGTCTGACGTTCAAACACTTGCCTTTCGAGGACATCCGGCGTCCGGAGATAACAATGACGGTACTGACTTCATAGTGGATCTCACTCCACCCCGACCCCGCTACATGTATATCGGTTGCACCGACCGACCGATTGAACAAGTCTATCAGCTGGTTTTCCCTTCATCCACCAAGATACACCCATCACTTTCAAATTCATCATCATAGATGATCACATGACATGGTGACTAGAGGGTTCTAGCAGAACAGGAGAAAAAAAAATTCATTTTGCCTGCCTCCCTACCTGTCTGCCTGCTTGTCGTTGCCTTGCGGGTTGGATTGGGTTGGGAAAGCAATTGTGGTGTGTGTGTGTGTGTGTGTGTGTGTGTTGTCGAGGCACGAAAGTTTTGTAGGGGCGTGGCCGAGTCAAGATGAGCGAGTGAACGGGATCACTAGGCGAAGGAAGTGTCGGTTTATTCA